GTTGGCTTCAGTTTCCAGGTCAACATGGCGACCCTCCTATTCTTGAAAAGGGTTGAGCAACTCATGCCAACTTCAAGAACCATAAGTCAGGTCAAGGGCTCACTTTATGTTCCATACCAACATGGCAACTCTTCCATTGTGGACAATCCAGAAATCGACACGCGCGCGTCCGCGCGTGCGATCGAATGACCTACGCGAGGGCGGGTCATCCGAAATCCGGCTGCTTCCCCTAAGTGGTTGAATTTTGTTTCCAGGCCAACCTGGCGAACTTTGCATTGAGGACAATACAGAACTCGTCAGGCGCCCATGGCGAGTTTCATACTGTCTACACTGGAAAAGCAGTCATGTTGGCCTTGAACCGATCAACCTTTGGGTGACCGATTGGATGTGGGATATAGCATACGTGTTGCCACGATTTCGAAAATACAAAGGTCGCCATGCCAGAGCGGTCAAAGAAGACATGGCGTTGAAAGCGCCAGGCCCCATGCTCAGGCTGCGCTGGTTTAGGCACTTCAAGAGATCATCAAGGCTTCAGCTGTGAGCCGCAATGGCTACCTCACACTGCACTCTCATGCGCCAGGGCCTGGGCCTTACAGGAGCCACCTGATTTTTATATCCTCATCTTGCCTCTCCTCCTCCTCCTCCTCCTCCTCCTCTTCCTCCTCCCCCTCTCCTCCCACTCCTTCCTCCTCCCACTCCTTCCTCCTCCTCCTCCTCCTCCTCCTCCTCCTCCTCCTCCTCCTCCTCCTCCTCGTGATGGTCCGTTTGCCGAAGCCCGACGGCGAGGGCTGCCGCCTGCGCTCATCCGGGTGTGGGCGAGGGTGCGCAGGCCTCTCTCGCAGCAGTGGATCAGGGACAACCCCGAGGACGCGATCTTCGGCATGAAGCGCGGGGCGACGGCCACGGCGTCGGCGCACCGCCGCAACGTCCAGGCCGAGATTGCCCAGCTGCTGGGGGAGGCCAGTTGGGCTGTGATCATGGATGTGCACATGGCCTTCGACAGCGTGCTCATAGGCCCCTTCCTCGAGCAGGCTAGAGCCCTCGGCTTCCCCATGCGGCTGGTATGGATGCGTGTCCATGCGGCTGGTACGGATGCGTGTGAGCACTTTCAGGATGCCAGGCGCACGGCTGCTGGAGCCGCACGGTGGTGGCCAACAGCAGCATCCTGGCGGGGTGCACCCACAGCGCGGCCCTGCTGACGGTGCTGCTCTTCCAGGCCGTCGTGCGCCTTCGCACCGTCGCGAACAAGCTGGCCCCGAGGTCCCTCAGGGACGACCTCACCATCCAGTGGATCCGGCAGGTCGGCGACGGCGGCGTCAGCATGTTGCGAAGGGCGGTCCGCGAGTTCACGGAGCAGGTGCGGCCGCTGGGTATGCAGATCAAGCTGGCCAAGTCAGGCTGGTTCGCCACGTCGCAGGACGCCAAGAAAGAGTTTCGGCCCGCAGCCAGAGCCCCGGCGCTGCCCGAGAGGCAGGGTTTCCGCCGCCTCGGGCACGACGCGCACGACGCGGCGGCGCGGAGGCCTGTGGCGAGGGCTAGAATGGACAAGCTCCAGGCGCATCAACCTCGTGTAGACGCGCTGGCGAGGATGGCGGGCCCCAGGGTCCAGGCGCCGTGGAGGACGGGGCCTCTCCCCTCGGCGGCGTACGGTGCACCCGTGGGCGGCATCAGCGACGCGCAGTTTGCCGCGCTCAGGCACCGCGCTGTGCTGCTGTTCAGCGGCCGCGGCGGTGAGGGCGCGGCCTTGACCAGGGCGTACCTGGCCACCCAGCACGACGCCTTCCTCGACCCGTTGCGTGAGGCCACGACGGCGCCGCTGGTGGCCTGCGCCTCGCAGCTCTGGAACGGCCACCTCCCGCTGGCCAGGCTGCAGCAGGCCTGGGGCGCCCTCGAGCAGCGGCGGAGCGAGGCGGCGCCCTCCTGGCAGACGGCGAGGCGCCCGGTCGCCGCCCTGTGGCTGAGCGCGCGCCGCATCGGATGGGGCATGCACTCCAGCCTCGTCCCCCTCGACGACGAGGGACGCCCGATCGAGCTCCTCGGGCAGCACCCGCAGGAGGCGCGCAAGCTCGTGCGCGAGGGCGCGGCGCGCTGGCAGGGACGCCAGATCCTCACTCACCACCAGTCGACTCCACCGCCTATGGGGGCCAGGCTCTGACCCAGGGCGGCCCCGCACGCGCCGGCGCCGCCGTGGGCCAAAATTTGAAGAGCGAGGGCAGGCCACCTGCGGAAGCTCTGGGCAGGAAGAGCACGGGATGATGTGCAGCGGCACGCAGCGGGCTACATCAGCAGCCCCGACTGCCCGTTCTGCGCGGCGCCCACGCCTGGCACGCGAGGTCACTGTATCTACGAGTGCGAGCGCGTCGCTGCCATGGGCGGGGAGGGCTAGACGGACGCGGTGCTGAAGTGGCTGACGGACCAGCAGCAGCGGACCAAGAAGCGGATGCGGGAGCAGTGCCACATCGGAATGACCGACGCCCCGGCTACGACCGCTTCGACCTCACGGTTGGCATCCCGCTCATCCCCTACCAGGCGCCCCCCCGCAGCAGGACGGCGGACATCCAACACTGGGGGGACTGGTCGAGCAGCGGCGCGGGCGTCACCACGGCGGTCTACCTGGACGGCTCCCGCCACGCCCGAGCCCACCAGGTGCGGCTGGGCGTTTGTGCAGCTGGGCAGCATGGGCTGGCCCTGGCGGGAGGCCTACGGAGCGCTCCCAGGCCGCCGCCAGACGGTGGGCAGGGCAGACAGATGGGCTTCCGTGCAGGCGCTGAAGTTGGTGCCCGACATGAAGCTCCTCATCACTGACCTGGCAGGCCTGAGGAGTGAGGTCGCCGACTGGGAACCTTGGCTTGCCAGCGCGGCTTGGCAGCACGAAGACATCTGGCGACAGATCTTCGCGGTGCAGCGGGGTCGTGAGCCGCCTGATGCGCTTTGGTGCCCTGCTCACCTCACGTTTTTCGGAAGTCGTGCTCGACACAGAGCGAGATGTGATTGACTACCTCGGCAACGCCTGGGCGGACTGGTTCGCCAAGGCGGGGGCAAGGGAGCATCGGCTGCCTGCTCTGCTGGCGGACCTCCTGAAGGTGCGGCTCTCCGATGCGGTGGAAGAGGCGTCCGTGCTGGCGTGGCACCAGGCTGCGCTCGGAGGCCTCGCGGAGGAGCTGAGGGTGAGCACGAGGCGCATGAGCCTGCCACCAGAGCCTGTCGCCCCTGCGCAGTTGGGGTGCGGCCGCCACCTGGCTGGGCGTGCACAGCGCGCACGGCCACCGCCACGACAGACGAGGCGAGGCGGAGGCTCGAGCGCGAGGACTGCGCCCCCTCCTCGCTCCAGGCCTTCATGGCGCGTGCGCGCGCCCGCCTCCCTCCCTCGGCCTCTGCTTCGTTGGCCGCTGCCGCGGGGCCGCTCCCCGCGGCGCGCGAGGAGGCCATCGCCATCGCCCTGAGAGCGGCGGATCGCGTCCTCGGTGGCGAGCCGACCGTGGCCCAGATTGGTTTTCCTCGGCCCACGGCTGCGACAGACTGGATTCATGTGCCGTCCGTGCGGGGAAGGACCGATCCAGGTCCCCTTCGGACGTGAGACCCTGGATTCGAGGTGTGGACGGCAGCGCGGGGGCCGTCCAGCCTGGGGGCTCCTCGGAGGGGGGTGGGGGGGCGTGTCTGGGGCTGCGGCCTCCTCTGAGGCCCTGGGAGGCCCAATGTGTCTAGTGGGCGTTGGTCGAGAGATCCGAGTGGGGCCAAGGGGCTGTAGGGCTTGGGCGGGGCCCCATGCGGGCCCGAGGGTGTGGACAGGGCGGCGGCCGCCCTGCATGAGTCCCCTGAAGCCCCTGGTACAGGGGGTGCCCCGCCCAGGGCCCGTGGAGCCTTTGACCGAGGTCATCAGGGGCCATCAGATGGCCTCCTGTGGCCCTTTCGTAATTGGTCGAGTTTGCGGTGGACCAGCATCCACGCGCCAATCCCCCGTCGTGATGGCCCCATGTAAGGGCCCGTCAGCTGGGAGAGTAATCGTCTCAGGACGACCGCCTTAAGACACCTCGAAGCGGGTCGACACCCTCGGACGGGGATCCCCCTACAGGGCGGGTTCCACAGAGCTTATCGCCATGGTTTTTACAGCCGCGGCGATCCTCTCGAGCCTCGGGTCCTCCTCCTCCTCCTCCTCCTCCTCCTCCTCCTCCTCCTCCTCCTCCTCCTCATCATCATCATCAGCATCCTCACTTTTCTCCTCCCTCTCGTCTCCCTCTTCCTCCGCATTAGCGTGGCTAGTGCAGGGTAGCCTGGGGGGGCACTATGCCCTGGGAGGACCACAACACCCTAACATGACCCAGCCCGCCCAACAATAGAGGGAAACTAATCTCCGCCGCGACGAGGAGGCTTTAGGATCACGATTATTCACCGCCGAGAAAACATGGTGCGGACTACATCTAAAAACGCCCTGAGATTACTGCAGATATTCTTCAAGGGGCTCACAGCTCTGAGTTTCGGGCGCTCTTTGGAGCTCTGGTTTCCCGTCGCGTGACTTTCTCCAAAGCCAGAGAGTCCCAGGACGGGCCAAGAGGCCTCAGAGGGCCCCGAGACGCCCCAACCTCACTCCAATACGCCCGAGATAGCAGATAGCCTCAAGACGGCCCAAGGGGCTCCCAAGACGCCCCAAGAGCGCCCCAAGCGGCCCCGAAAAGCCAACACCATAGATGTCCAAGTGGTTTCTGCATGATTTTAGCATTCTCATATTCTCGTGTGATTGACGCTTGCCCAAGAGGCTCCTGAGATCGCCCCAAGAGGCCCCGAAGAGCGCTACCAGACGGCCCCCAAAGGGCTCCAAGACGGCCCCCAGAGGCCCCCAAAAGGGGCGCAAGAGAGGTCCCAGAGGAGAGAGAGAGAGGGAGAGAGCCATACACAAAAGAGAGAGAGAGGGAAACTCGCGAAAACAGATAACAAAGGAAGGCAGAAACAGAGAGGGAAAGATAGATTGAGGGGCAGAGGGAACACACACACACACACACACA